AGCTGTATGTACAGCGACTATTGTGTGTGTAGCCGCAGGACTTTGTGTGCAGACAACCGGGACAGCTATTACGGAGGTGACAATTGTGTCCAGCTGTCGGGCTGTTTGACGAAGGAAACGCGCTACGCCGAGTCATTAGTGGCTTTGTTACGGCATTGACCCATGTCGACCGCTCAGCACTAGGTGGGGCATGTATTTGTCTTGCTTTTTGCCCTGCTGCATACCTGTGATGACGCTAGGCTAGGCACACGCACAGAAATATATGCGTAATGTATGGGTATGAAAACTTATAAGCTTTAAACCTATCCCCGAATCCATTAACAGTCGAGCTCTCCTCAGCAGATAGTGGACCCATAGCATAATCACTCTTTCAATCACTGATGGCCGCTGGGGAAGAGGGTGAGGGGAGGGGGATGGCGATAGCGTTGGGTCGGTAACGATACCCTAGGGGGCGGGATAACAGCCAGAGCTCGAAGGACCGAGCTGCACTGAATCGCAGCATAGCCGTATTGAAATCCTGCTGTGGCGGTGCAGAGCGTGTGCCATTTGTGTGAGACCGACAGATCTGTCAATGGCTTGTGTCATTATCATATAGATCATCTGTGAGACAAGCGATGGGAGATTTCGTAGATAACGATAGTTTACCTATTTACAGGAATCTACACTTTCACTTTCACTTACACTTTCATCTGCTATGTAAGTACGTAGGTACAGTGTTGATTCAAAATGCAATATCAATAGGCATAGACCACTACATATACCGATAAGCGTTTGCCCATGCCTCAAATATAAAGGACTTGAGCAATATTTTTCGTTTGCCTAATGTTTCGTAATTCGCTATTACGTTTACTGTCACCATTCCCACTGATCCCAACACCTATCACCACATCGACAGCTGCTTTTTGTGTCACCCGCTGCGCCCCTGACATGCCACCATCTCATTCAGGTCACACTATCCCGCCGCCCTCGGCAGGTGTCACCGCCGACACCTGTGTCAGCTGACCCTGACACACACCTGGTGTCGTGTCATCAGACTCTGACACCGCAGAGCACGTCTCCTGTCCGCCCACACACGCACTATCTGAGGGCGTCCCGACATATGCGCGCTACGTATTGATCCTCGAGGGAGACGGGCTGCCCGCCCGGCCGACAAAGCATCGGGACATAGGGGCTCGGGGCTAGGAGCTAGGGGCTCAAGTTTGAGCCTCAAAAATGCAAAGTTCGGGATTCGGGATAAGCTAGATTCGATTGACTCTGCTGATCGTTGTTTGCTTGGAAAGATTTAACGGTATCTAAAAAGGCTATGCATCGTATGCCGTTGTGCACTGCCAGAAAGATGTAATGATCTAGTACCTACTATGCATGCATGCAGTCATGTATAGTCAATGGTGGTCAACTCAATGAAGCAACTGGTCAGCGAGATGGCGAGAGGCCTATGGAGGAAGGGTGTGTGGGAAAGAGTGAGAGAGAGAGAGAGAGAGAGAGAGAGAGAGAGAGAGAGAGAGAGAGAGAGAGAGAGAGCTGAGGAGGAGGTGCGACACCTGTCTCTAGGGAGAGCGGCTCCATCACTCAGCGAGAGCTGGTCATCGCAGACCGTGTCAGAGTGGGCCGCGAGATGTGGTGCCGGAGATAGCAGTGGGACTGGAGGTAATACTCCGCAGAAAGAGAACGAACAGAACGGATGGGTGGAGTGAAAGGAGATAGAAGAGATAGTGTTGCTAAGATTAGACGAAAATGGAAGGGAATGGATTTCAAATAAGGCACGAACTGAAAGGAGTGAAATAGGATGTTGAAACTTAAAATCTGAGACTGTCTTTCGCCCGATGTTGTCATGAACTGAGATTGTAAGAGCACGAGACGGTCATGCTTTTAATTTACTACCAAAATCGAGTATCTACACATAAACCACGGGCTCGGTGGACAGACGAAAAAAATGGATATAAGCCTAATCATTTAATTAACCTTCATAATAAATTGATTATTAAATGAATAAATATAAACATATTACGATTTATTACCAATTAACAACGCGCTTTGTTGCGTCACGATAACGATTTATCTTTTCCTGCATCATAAATCCCACACCGTCAGCTGCGGTAAAATGAATGTGCTAACTAAAACGGCAAGGGAACTTCGCCAATCACCCATAGCTTTCCTTGCGCGATCGATGGCGATTTCACCAGTGGCACCCGATGCACCGACCCCGGGTCATGTGCGGGCTCTGCTCCAGTCAGCGCGGCGCCGAACGGCTGTGGCCGCCGGTCGATGCCCCCCCCCCCCCCGCTGACCCCTCCAGCGGCCACTGACAGCTTACTAGAACAGAGAAGCCGTCGGCGGTGGTCGGCTCGACTTTAGGACGAGTGGGGGGGGGGGGGGGAGCTCGAGGGATAACCGACGAAACCGGCAGCCGGACCCGGCAAGTCAGGCTGAAATCCCTGCGGCGGAGCCATAACCGGAGCAGCTCAGATGTCGGCAGGGTAAATTTGAAAGGGGTCGAGGCAGGTCATCCAGACCTCATCACCTGTGCCAAGTTTAGATCAACAGCTATTTGTATCGATGTGCATGCACCAGTACCTCTGGTAACCTCTAAATCTGGTCATGAGATGAAGTTTTGGTGCAATCCTGGGAAAAATATTCACCTTTAGGGTACGAAACGAAAGTTTCGACCTAATGTTTGTCCGATGCCCAGTTCCAATCGCAAATTATCTGCTCAGGAAAGTCATCTCTCCTCTCCCGTCCTCTTCCTTCCCTAACTCCCATCTACGACGCAGAATCATCGAGCCGTCCATTGCCAATCGTCTCATCGCCCATCGCCGTCGGCGCAGCACCCATCGCCCATCGTAGCATCGCCCATCGCCGTCGGCGCAGCGCCCGTCGCCCGTGATATACGGTCCGTCTATCTCGACACACATTACGAGCGGCCAGCTCTCGGGGACGATCAGCGAGCGGCGGCCGTTCCCCGCGGGGAACTGTCGAATGGTCTGGATGGGGAGAGGAGTGGGAAAGGCGGGGCTGGAGGGAGTGACGGTAAAGGGTTGGATGGGGAGGGTCAGCCAGTTCGGGTTGTCTCAAAATTTTACTGTTTAGGAGATGCATCGAGTAGGCGGTCACTACCAGGCTAGAAGGTCTTGGTCGCACTTATTTCGTCCTGCATTAGATCCATTCTGGTTTCAAAAGTAACAAGCCATCAAGAGGGCCTTCGAGAGCGTTACAACAGTGACTCATTACGAGAGCAGTCACGAGAGTCGTCACGAGAGTCGTCACGAGCAGCGTGACAGCGTCACGATGGGGAGCAGCCGGGCGTGTCTGCCGCGACTCTCCCCGGCGTGGGGTGCGGAGGCCCAGGCCGGAGCGCGCTGCCGCTGCTGCACGGTGGGTGACCTCATGGCTGCGACACTCTCCCCGACCCACCCCGGCGGACCAGGCCCACCACCCCGGTCCGGTCCGACCCGGTCCACTCTGGTCCGGCCTGGTCCAGCCCAGGGTGGAGCGGTCATCCGGAGCCGCCCAGACCAGTTCCGATTAAGGTATGAAGACGGTACCTACTAACAACGGTGGATTAGTCGTTAACGAAATACGGAGACACCACACCGGCAGCAGGGGCCGGCAGCTGGCAGCTGAGCCGCGCTGAGCTCCGACTCACGCTCTGAGTGCTGTCGGACCGGCACGAGGACATCTTACAGCGGAGATCAGCTGGCGTATGACAGCTGGCACAAACTCGCCGGGTATGTTGGTCAGAAGAGATCGGTCAGTGACTCATTCCGTGGACAGGAGAGCTGATTGTTGTGCCGATTGAGTTATCAAGAGTGATTGAAAAGAGTTGTTATGAAGGTATTTTACAACACAATGACATCCGGCTGTTTTTGCCCATCCGGGGTGATTTCGAAAATGACGACCATAGCTACCGTGGTGACCACTGAGTAAAATTGGAACGGTCCCTAACATCCCCATAATGACCTCAGATAGTCTCTCATTCCAGCTCCACCCCGTTCCGTCCAGTCAACTGACGCAAGTTCGACCTGTCATTTGTAGCGTGACCTGTCACCACCCCCTGACACGCGCCCCGTGACAGAGACGACAGGCGCGCTGAGGTGCGTGGCGCGCAGCCTCAGCCCCGTCCTGCAGTGCGGCTCGATCAATATCAGTGGCGGCAATAATTTACCAGCCGGCCCACTCCTGATGCCGAGTCATATCGAGCAGTCTTCCAATTCCCGGCGCGTGCAGGCGCTCCATCGCGGTTTCATCACCGATCATGAAATCCGTGATCCGTGAAATCTGAGGTTCGATCCAACGACCTGTGGTCTAATTTGATCGAGCTCTGGGGAGTGCCGAGGCGGGCTGTTCGTGGAGGATTTGTAACAGGTGGCTGGCTGGGGAGAATCATGTCGACGTTAGCAGACCATATGGCGGTCGCAGGCTCGCATACCGTCACAGAAGCGGAGATGAAAGAAAAGAGGAGCCGCATGGGCATCAGATCTTTAGACCGCAGACCGGAACCAGGGAGCCACGTGCGACACAAAAACCGCAGATGGACCTCGGAGACCACCGACCGAAGACCATGGACCGTCGGACACGACCGTACGGTGGTCGTGCGGCGCCCGAGCGGGACCGCGGCGGGCGTGTCACCAATTTGGCGCACCGCCCCGACCGCACAACGGGTCGTGACCCGCTGCATCACGACGAACCGGGATTCAGGGCGACGGACCTCTGCCCAGGAGCGCGCGGCCGGCCAGTCCACTGACCGCTAACGACCGAACTCATTAGCTAATGTGCCGCCGTGCTGAGCGCTGGAGAGGAGCGTGACGTCAGCGTTTTGATGATGGTGATATGGCGTGATGGGGTAACTATTTGTGATTATCAAGCTCGCGAAGAGAGCGTGACAGCTGCTAAGTAGCATAGATTCAATAAGAAAGCGATGATGAAAAAGCACCGGTCATAAATCAAAGTCATTCAATTACTCCGCTGGGACTGACACATATCCCCTGCTCATTTTTACTCACCGTGAGTGGGCGGAGATGAGTCTGGGAGGTTCGGACATGGGCCGGACCGGGGTCCCGGTGGTCCGCCCCGCGGTGCCGTTGGTCCGCCCCGCGGTCCCGTTGGTCCGTGTCGCCGGCAGGGTGCGGGCGGCCGCTCCCAGGACCGGAGGTGCCGGGCTCCCCGCCGTGGAGGGGCCGAAGCAGATGGTGTGCCGCACTGACGGCGGTCTCCTTTGCCCGGTCTGCCTCGTGCTGTCCCACGGGGCAGCAGAGGGACGCGGCTCACAGTCGTATATGAGTGTCTCCACCATGGAGCCCTTGCTGCTGCCGAATGACACCCTGGGAAAGATACAGCACACGGTCAGGAACATCTAGGTGATGTGCGGCCAAACAGGATTGGGAAGATGGATAGCACTGGACGGCGCACTTTGAATCAGATATTATACCGTGCAAGATCAAACTGCTGTGCAGACTGCAGAAAAACATCAAAACACGAGATGCAAATACACAAATGACAAAACTGCATGCGTGACGCAAATGCCTGCTCAAGTGAATCAATACTTCACTAGATGATTGACATTCGGTTACTTTTCATTTACCTATACCATGCGAGCGACGAATAACGCCCTTAAGCACTCAATGACTTATTGAACTAGTAAAAGAAAGCCCTTGACGATAAATCCATGGGCGTTCGATAGAGAGCTAAGGATAGAACAGGTTACTGCCATTGATCCATCTCCCGAGCAAAAAGTTGGTGCGCTCTCCAGGCGCTTACTTTTTATACGACAGCAAAAACTACGCTGGACATGGCATTGAGTGAGCCGTGTTCATCAATGGCTCATACAGTGCGTGGACCATGATATTCAATGACACCAGTTGAAATAATAAATCTGTGTGCACCACACGTTTTACATGTCTTGTGAGTCGTATCGGCACAAAAGCCGACCAACCTGTTACGGAAACGTTGCATTTAAATGCATTACCGATAATAAGATGATATAATAATGCAGAAAATGAATTTGATAAATAACATAGGCATCGAACTATATCTTAATCAAACGCACACCTTGAAATTTAATTTCAGAACAAAATATCAGCAGGATAAACTCCTCCCCTTCGGCGCGCCATCTGGGCATTATTTTATGGTCTCCCAGCTGATCAATGTATCATCCTGATCCGCTCGGGTCTGATTGGGTCCGATCGCGGGTCGGGTGTCTGCGGCCGACCACCGGAAATGGCTCCTTCCGGTGGCGGTGGCTCGCAGAGGGCTGGGGTCAGAGGTGAGGGAGCCACCCTCTGGTCGAACTCCACGACCCTCCGCTGCCACCTGCCCCGGATCACCTCGGCGGTCCATCACCGGTCCATCTCCGGGGAGAGTGCTGCGCTTTCCCGACTGATGAACTGACAGAAGCTGCCCAGCAGCTGGTTCCCGTAGCTCGAGTCTCAAACTAATGTAGCTGCTAACTTTGACTTATGTAACTGAAGTCTAGAAATGATACAAGTGACAGTGGAGAGTGATATATCTGCAAACTTGAACTCACGTACCCAACTGGACACGGTTAAGTTACAGCGAGAAACCCCGGCTTCATTACTGGTAGATCTCTGACTGCATATACCGACTATGAGTTACCTCGGCCGCACTGTGCGCCTATCGCCTCAGGCACTTGAGAAGCGACCTTTTGGATACTGCAGTGAACACTCGACACACCCGTAGGCTCGAATCAATATTTCTGAGCTGGTAGATTGGCCCAGCTTACCTGCTCACATACTCACCCGTCTAACCGCAGACCGTTGCCGCAGCTTCAGGTGCGGAAGCCGCAGCTGACCGCGCGGGTCAGTTACTCTAGAGCGGTACTCAAAGGTCAGCGGTTCATCCTGTACTCGGGCGGCCAGTCATCGCCCCGGGAGACCGCAGCAGGTCACAAACCTCGTGTCAGAGACCGCGGGTTATGGCCGGTAATTGACTGAGGTAACGACAGAGCCGCAGAGTGTGTGCAACGTCACTACACATCTAGCGTGGTTTGTGTTACATTTATCCCGGCGGGATGTCTCTTTTCAGTGTCTTTTATTTTGCTTCTTTTAAATACGCAAAAAAAGTGAGTATTTCTACATTTTTATACCTATCCAAGGCATGAGGTAGGCCAGAAACGTACAAACATAAGGAAGCATAAGGAAATAAACTAGATACCCCGCTAAAAATCGCAATTTTGGGTTTGATCTCGGCTTAATTATCCGATTCCCCGCACGTGCGAATCAGGCAACCTCATCAAAAAGCTCTCCCTCGCAGTGCAGCCGCGTCTGCACGTGCTCGAGGGGCAGTCAATCGACGACCGCTGAGCGGCACACTTGTGAGCCCCGTGGCCGCCACTTCGCACTTGGCTTGTTGAGCGTTCTCGCGATCGATGCAGCGACCGAAGCCGAGGGTATCGATTCTGCAGAGTTCAGACCGCCCGCCGGCCGACATGTCATAACAACAGCCGGCCGCGAGCCGCGAGCGGGACGCGACAGCTGGCCTTGGATGACCCTGAAAGGGTGTTTGAGGGGAGGGGGGTTGTTTGTTGAAGTGTGTTACGGTTGAGCGAGCGCAGCGCTGCGGTGTTAATTCGATTGCAGCGCATTGATAAAACTGAGCAGATGCCGCTGGCTAAAGTGTGGTGGGGGTAGTGAAGTGACTGAGGCACGTTGAAAGGCGAGCCAGGCTCCTGAGATCCATCGGCATTCGTTCGCGCCTCTCCTGGGCCAATTCTCATTAAGTGCCGTAACTCCTATTTACGGATACCTATGGAATCAACCAATATCACAGTTTGCTCCGCGGGAAAGAAGTTTAACTAAATTAAAGTGAAACGATTACAAAACAAACGCTTTTATAACCCCGGATATTTTGTAATATTCTGATGACTATACCTACCGCATTGCTATGCATATCACTAAAACAAAAGTTAGCTCAATTATGCTCAATACAATAAGTTAAATACTTTTTAGTATGTAGTTTATTGATATTTAAGAGGAAAAATTCAGCCGTCAACATCGGGACGGCGGCTTTTATGTAATAGCCCAATGACGGACACTGTCACGTGAATATTGATCTGCAGAGAGGTCCCTGTTGACCCAAACGAGGCCAGGTCACGACTTGTTTGACCGTGGCTATACCTCTACCAGTGGCAGGGTCACGGACGGATAGAGGGAGGTCACGGGAAGGATCACGAACATTGCCACGAGCATAGTCACGGAGAGGGACAGAAATACACAGGAGCGCGGTAAAATAAAGATCATCAGTGAAGTTTTGCGAGGCGTCACGACTCACGACTAAATAGTCATTTAGTCGTGAGCTGTGACACCTCGCAAAAATGTTTTTGTGGCTACCATCTTTGTTGTATCTGTTTCATGAGATTTATGATGCTATTTGTGTCGTTCTAGCGTCGCTGTCAACATTTTCGTGTTTGTTTGGGCGCGTAAGCCCGTCATTTTCGTGTTTCGCAGTTTTTCTTCCACTTTCCTAAACAGACCAGGTGTAGGTAAACACAGTTTTGTTGGAATGGTATATCCTACGACTCGAGTGCGAGTGCGAGGTGTATACGACCGGTGTGAGTCAAGCCACCGCAGCCGCCCGAGTCCTCTGCCGGCCGGCCCTCGCCGTCTTCAGCTTTGAGCCTCAACGTGACTAACGTCAACAGTAATATAATTATAATTTAACCAAACAAAAATGTGCTAAATGTAGAACCTCAGATGCAACAGGATTTTACTAAGAAAATATAATATACTTTTATTAGATAACCTGCCCATGATTTCTGACCGCAAATGGACCCGAGCTCCGGCTGGGCCCTCGGGACCGTCGCCGCTCCGTCCGTCGGCGGCACAAAGCTGTGTGTGATGACGTTGCCATGGCAGCATGACGTCACAGCGGCAGTCGTGTCCAAATATCCGGCCATTTAAATGACATTTAACGAGCCGAGTGACATTGCTGGAGCGGGCTCTCGGTGTCGAGGCTCGGTGCAGGTCACCGCTGTCCGGTCGCCGGCTGCACTACAGGCCATATTCAGTAAACGTGACATTATTGCAGCGGAAATAATCAATCAAACACCGCCAACAGTAGCGGATCCAGGGGGGGGGGGGGGCAAAATGGGCATTTGCCCCCCCCCCCCCAAACGGCATAATTTTAACATTACGCCTATGGACGATGCATGGAAAGAATCGATAAATTGTTATGGTTTGCCCCCCCCCCAAACTCTGAGCTGGATCCGCCTCTGACCGCCAAGCTTTACATCTGATCATTGCGGCTTCATGTACATAGGAATGACTATGCATTATGCATTCGGATAAGTAATTAGGCCATAAGGACACTCGGCTCGATGACGTCATCCCAAGATAAGTTCAGCATAATGCCTGCCGTCTATAGCACATGCATTGCTTTTTTACAGCATCGTCATCCCACACACAACTTGCGAGGTAAAAAATGGATAGGAAAGCTAAATTTCAAACTAACAGAAACCATTGCTGATCTTGTTGGCCGCGCTGCTGTCTCTGGCCGTGCCTTGAGAGTGGCCTGGCGGAGCTCACAGGTGTTTCGCCCTGGCGCCTGTTGAACGCTGATTGATCTAACTCAGCTACCAAAGACTCCGGGATAGACGGAGGAAGACTGCAGACGGAGACAGCGGGACTGAGGACCGGGGAGGGTCCCTGCTGAGTCAGCACCCGGTCACCACCGTACTGACGCATGTTAAACGGCCAGATTAAGGTTTAATGGCGCGTGCCGCCCGAGGCACGGCGTGGGCTGCAGAAATCGATAGCTACTCCTCCTCACCGTGCCCCCTCTCCCGGCACCTAGCCCCCCCCCCCCCCACCGGCCCGCAGACCCACCTGAGGAGCCGGCGCTCCGCGCTCTGCACTCCTATCCTCACTCTCTCTCTCACTCACTCACTCACTCACTCACTCACTCACTCACTCACTCACTCACTCCAACTCACTGTCTGTGGACTGAGCTCGTCAACCGGCATGGGAGATGCGTGAAGAGGTGAGAGACAAACTCTGAAACTGGTGAGCTGAACTCTGAGAGCCCAGCCCTGATGAGCTTGGCCTGGTAAGTTCGTGATAAAGTGAGAGGGAAACCTGGTGAAGTGAGGGGAAGGCTGGCAAGATAAGAGGGGAAGACGAAGCTTGCGTCTATCTATCGCTCGACAGATCGCGCTCGATGGTGTCAGCTGTGTTAGGAAATTGGCTGCGGGGACCAGGACTGAACGTGAATGTAAAAAACGCGATAAGCTGGGCAGTGGGCCCAATGGTCGGCTGGCCCGTGTTAGTGGCCTTTTGGCTCCAAGTAAATCATGGTTGACTCTGAAATG